CCCCCCCCGCCAACCCCGGCCTTATTTCCAGGTTCTGTGCTCCCTGCTCTGCTCCCTTCCTGCCCCTGGGCTGGTCCCACCAAGTCTGCATCCTCACCTTTTGCAGGTACGTATGAAAAAGGGTGGGGGGGAGAGGGGAGGGGAGGGGAGGCCCCCACCCTGATCCTCAATGCCACCACCCTCTTTGGGACAAGTGGACCTGCCCCGCTCTTGGTGGGAAGGAGAGGCAATCCAGCGCAGAGGGAAGCGCGTCCTCAGCAGGACCTCTCCAAGGTGAAACACCAAGCGGGTCACTGTGAACACGAGAAGCCGCCCTCCCCGGGTGCCTCTCACGGTCTCCAAAGAACAGGGGGTGCAGCTGGAGGAATGTGGGTCCCGTGAAGGGATCTCTGCGTTACCCGTTTCCACACAAGGCACGATGTTCCCCAATGGGAAAAGGGTGCCAACCCTCCTTCCATCTCTCCCCCGCTAGGAGAACCGGGGGGCCACACTTGAGACCACCCTCAGGGGGCAGCCAAGTGTTCAAAGACTCCCCTGTACGCTTGGCTGCCATCTGCTGGCGGCCTGGAGGTGGCAGCGCAGATCTGGTCGCTTTAACTCCAGGGCCCGGGACTGCTGGCCTGATCGGGCAAGGCTGCCTTTATTCAGTTGCCCGGGTGCCCTCCTGAATATGTGGCATCTTGGCCCCCAGAGCTGGTGGGCTGGCGAGTGATCCTCTGCCCTCCAGTGGAGAAAGCCTGAGCACAGCCGCTCTGTCCGGCTCCCAGAGACGGACGGGGTCAGCGGATGCTAGGACTCGGGGGTCGCCCTGTCCTCCAGTGTTTGCTGGAAATGCCTAAGTGGGGGGTGCCAAATATGGGGACGGTGCCTGGTCTGTGAAGGACAGCAATCTGCCAGGACCGAAGGAACCTTTCCCTCCCAATTCCTCGAGGGAGGACCTACCTGACAGGTGCAGATTTCACAGGGGTCTTCTCCAGGCTGGAAACTCTCGCCGGGCCTGTACCCGTGGCCCTTGTAACTGCAGTCTGGGAAAAGAAAGGAGACGAATTGTAGTGGGTGGAAGGAAGAACCTCGAGGAACAGGAGGAAGAGCTGCAACCCAGGCAATGGTCAGATAAAAGAAACCTGAGTCCGAAGAACTGTAGCCCGAGAAAGTGTCTCCAGCAAGACCCTCCCTAGTTCTCACAAAGATACAGGGAGAGAGGGGGGAAGCACATTCAGATTTGCAGGATTCTCTTACTGCAACCTTATAATAAAAGCAGTATCAGCTTGCATGACTTTGGTTTCCTAGCCTGGTCTACCTCGAAGGGCTGATAAGAATAGGGTTCAGGATTCCTGTTCTGGGCAGGGGTTTGTGCCACAAATCCTCCAAGGTTCCTTCTAGCCTGATGATTCTATGATTCTAACATGGAACCCTTAGGGGGCAACACTAGGTAAGCAGGGCTGGATGGGAGACCACGAGGAAATCCCACTTAGGGCTTTAGCAGAAACTCCAAAGCTCGAAAGAGAGTAAGGAATGGAAGAAAGCAACGGAGATCATTCCAGAATGAGGATCAGGGAGAAATGGCAGGAGGAAGGGGAAGGGAGAGCAGAGGCCCCGGCTTCCCCCCCACCCCCTTGAGATGGGCCAGCCCAGGAATCTGGGCTCCCAGCACTCCCTGGTAGAGTCTGGGTTCCCCCAATACATGCGCTTGATTGCTGAATTTATTTATTTTATAGGAATTTATTTTATAGGACTCTGTGCAGCGTGCAACATCAAATGACCACATGATAGGAATAGTGGTAGTAGTAACAGCAACACAGCTACATCCAGAAGAGTCTCACAAACCACAAAGAACCCCCCCCCAGCCATCCTACATCAAATGTAAGGCAGGCGACCTCAGTGAGAAGCAGCTTGAAATAAAAAACAGCCATTAAATGAGTCAACCCATTTTGTGAACTTGCACCACACCCTGAATCGTAAACTCACCAAATGGGCTGGGTTTGCATGTGCTGAAGGTACAAAAATAATTTTAAAAAACCTGACCAAAACTGAAACGAACCCATCTTAACTGGCTGGGCAGCCAGAAAGGGGGTTGTATGAAGACAGCCCCCCGCTGCAATGCAATCCTTATCTCTAAATCTGGTTAAAAATCCATGGTTGCTCCATTCACACGAAACGCTAAGTCCAAACAAGGAAACCACCTCGGTTGGCTTTAATAGGCTGGCCTGGTTCACGTAACGGCCTAAGACAAGGGTTGGGTTCCCACAACACTCTGAACCGCAACTTCTCCACATCCATTTTAGCCTCAGGCAGGGTGCTGGGTGAACCCCTGCCAAGTTTTCGGAGCGACACGGGAGGAAGTTAGAAATGTTAGGAGGAAGAAGGCCCCCATGTTTCATCTGGAATCGGACAGCGTGGGAAGGGGTCCAAAGGGACCCAAAGTCCTACAAGCAACTTCCTTTGGTCAAACAGGTTCAGCAGGTCTCCGGAATAACCGAAAACCTGCAGAACGCATGGCCCCATGGCACAAAGGCTAGGGCTGCCATCACGAAGAGCCGAGCTGGGGAACGCCTCCCTCCTCTCCCCCCAGGGCCCCCTGCCCAGCTCCTGCTGGGCCCCTCCTCACCCAGGCTGTACCTGCACACACCGGGCAGCACTCCCCCGGCACTTCCAGCTGAGCAGGGCAGGAGTTCACACAGATGACCTGGGTGCAAGTAACGACGCCGTCTGCGCACAGGCAGGCCTGGCAGGGCTCCGAGGGAGAAAACCAGCTGGTGCCATCAGCCTGCTCCTGGTCCTCGTGCACACAACCTGCGGAAGGCGGGGGCAGAGAGGCATCAGGTCTGCCGGTGCGGGGAAGACAGCCCTTGCTCTTTGGGAGCTCTGCTGGCGCAAGGCAGGGGGTGGCATTTCTTGGGCCAGGTCTAAATCCACTGGGGGGGGGGCATTTTCTGCCCACTACAACAGTGGGAGGGGGTTGATCTGTTTGGGGCCAGACTTTAAGGACGTTTCAAAGTGCAATGAGGACTAGAAACTAAGCCTGGGAAGATGCTGAATGGCAAGCCTTGGGAAGGAAGAGACAGGACAAGATGGCTCCTTTCAAGGCCATGAGGATGTTCCAGAGAAGACGGTCCAGGCCCAGTCTTCCTCATTCCGAAGTGCCAGGGTGCCCGCAGGGCGCGGTCAAAGTAGACAAGAGGGGAGTCACAACACAACTGAAGCTCTGACTGCTTTTGATGTGTGTTCAGATAAAAGCAGGCGGAGTGTCAATCACACTGCTGCAGCCACCATCTTGACTTTTTTGACCACACCCTGTAGCCACCTGGCAGAACTTGGCAGATTCTGAATGAAGCTTAGAGCTTCCTTGGAGGAAGAGCAGCTGGACTGAGAAGAGCTGTTTTCAAGGGGAGGCAAAACAGGCTTCTCTTGGGGACGCTTCAATTTGGATTCCTGCTATTCTGTGCAAGGGTTGGACTGGATGGCCTCGGGGTCCCTTCAGCCTTAGAGCTCTATGAGCATCTGTTCCCTTTTTTCTGAGGATGCCTGAGGAGGACCCCCCCTGCCCCCCCACCCCTGCCTGCATCAGGGCCTGGGACGGTCTTAATCCCACCCCTCGGCTAAGTCAGACAGGAGCGCTGTCCACGTGACGATGCTCCCTGGCGTGGCCTCCGAGTTCCTCTTAGGCATCGTGGCACCTTTGCAGCGGGGGCAGCAGATGCCAGGCTCTGTCACCGGGTGGGAACACGTGGCAGGAGGACAGGCGATCACCTCGCAGCGGACGTTCCCCTCCTGCAACACGGAGAGGCGGCAAGAGCATCAGTGCCCCCCACCCCTCTCTCACTCCCTCATTGAGGAGGGCTGGCACAGTCCATGTTCTGCCATCCTGAATGGCTACCCAGCCCGGAGGCCTGGATTTATGCCCGTGACACGTGGGGTGACCATGGCTGGCCTCCCAGGGAAGCCGTGCCAGCGGGCAGAGGGGGACTCACCTGGCAGATGCACCGGAGGCATGACTCGGGCTGGAAGCCCTGCCCGTGGGCATAGCGCTCCCCTTCAAAGAGGCAGTCGTGGCACAGGGGGCAGCAGGGGCCCGGAGCCGGGTGGGAACAGAGCGCAGCTTCGCAGGGCACCGGCTCACAAGAGGCTTCCCCGCCAGGCTGCCCAAGAGGGAGAGAAGAGGGGGACGGGATGCAATGGGGCTGCGTCAGCCAGGAGAAGGGACCTCGCGCCAGAGGAGGACTAGCCAGAGGCCTTCTTGCCTCCAGGAGGCGAGGGCCAGTGGAACAGAAGAGTCCCCAGCAACGGTGTCTGCGCCGTGTGGTCAAAAAAGTCAAGATGGCGACCATGACTGTTAAAAACTGGTGGGCATTGGGTCACCCATCATGGCCACTATCCTAATGTTTTTGACTGCGCCCAGTGGACCCCCCTGGTCCCAAGGCTCGATCAGGCTAAGATCGGGTCCCCCCAATCCAGCACGCAGCCCCCCTCCCCAGGTGGGGAGCACACAAAGATGGTGCTGCCCCCCAGTCCTCATTCGTGCTCTGCTTTCCAGCACTGACCTCAACCGTGCCTTTCCCTGGTTTAACTGATGGCCCAGGGAATGGTTGCCAGCTGCTGGCTTCCCGCTGCCCTCTGAACCCTCTGCTGCCCCCCCCCATTATAGCCTAGGTCACGGGGGGGGGAAGATCCACCCCTTCACTCACGCAGCCCTCCTTTCCCACCGCCCCAAATGTTCCTGCCTTGCCTTCCTTGCTCTCTTGGCCCTGAGAAGCCGTGCAAAGGGTTTCCTCCGCGTACAGCCCCCTCCACCCAAAAAGTTTGCACTGAGGACTGGAGATGGCGAAGAGCCCGGTCTTTGGATGGCACCAAGAGCAACTCCAGGGGTTTAAGATGGCAGCCACCACCACATGACCCAAATCACCCTTTTGACTTCTGCACCCCCACGGGGTAGGGCTTTGAGGGCTATGGGCATCTTGATGTTTTTGACCCCCCTGGGGCAAGGCGGGGTCCAGCTAGGAAATCATGGGGCACGGCCGCGAGGACCTTACCCCACAGGAGCACTGCTGGCAAGGGTCCAGAGGCGAGAGCCACCGAGCGCCTTCGGGATACTCCCGGCCTGCCTGCTGGCACCCTGGGGGCAGGAGGAAAGCGGGTGAGGCTCCCAAGGGCCCAGACTTCGGGGCA